AAAAAAAAAAAAAAAATCTGCCTATGCATGTTTTTTAAGAAAAAAAAAATGGCTGTATTGGCCTGTACGGGACTGTAATGCGCTTAGTGGTCCGACATATACTGGAAATGTATGTATACTGGCGTACTTTATATTCTCTAAAATGCTTAATGCCTTTGAAATTTTGTAATCAAAAAAAGCTTTGAAAAAATCTAAAGGGGAGAGTATTCTTAAAAGTTTTTAACATAAGCTTGTCAGTGCACACATAGATGGTTAGCATGTTTAGCAAACCTTGTGAAATTTAAATAAGTTTGTAGTTACATGTGAAACTCTAAATGCATGGGAACTGTTAATGTCATAACGGTTTAGTTCAATTTTGTTCTGTTCTGTCATGTGCCACACAATATGTACTTTTTCACTTTTTCCCCTTTGTATATCAGTTACGGGTTACAACTGGTTCATTCTGAAAACAACAAAAGCAACTACAACAAAAGTCCATTCATATTTTTTAACAATTGTATAAGTGCCCAAGTAATTCACTACAGCCTAAAGCCTTGCCTTTGTAATTTGACTTCTGAAATGTTGGCAATCAAAGCATGCACTTGTAACAATGAAAAAGAAAAAGCATTTTATATTACTACTCAATAAAATGTGCATGAACTTACAGAACTCTCATCCTTCCACTGAGTCTGCTGAAGGGATTTCCCTACACAGCCACCATGCGTCTTCGAGGTGCTGGCCCACCACCGCACATCACCGGCCGACTCTGATGGGCTTCTTCCTAAGGTCCTTGTGATCTGAGGGGTGGTGCCTCCTTCCACTGTAAGAACCCTGGTGGATTTGTGTCTCAAATCAGACAGGAGAAGTCTGTCGGTAGAGCAAATGCCATCTTCTGGCTCCCTCAAATATGGGAACCAGTTAAGAAACCAGAGCATTCCTTTTTATTGCCAAAAAAAAAAAAAAAGAATGAATTTGTTATCAGGTTGTTTCAGTTGTACTGGATCCCTATCTGCTAAAGCAAAAAGAACAAGGCTACTAAGTGCGTTTTCATCACAGAAGAGAGTTGCATTTGTATTACTAGGAAATCTGTATACCTGTGCTTCAGCTACTACCGAATCACCCGAAGATTTAAGATACACCCGATTTGAGTTTGTTTCTAACATTGTTCATCTTAGTGCACTTTGTCTTATGTAATAAAGTATGCCTGTTATATGAAAATAAGATGATGACAATTAGCGACGTAGTGTACCAAAACAAAGACGTCCTCCACATACTCTCTGACAAAGACTATCCCAAGTTTATTTTAATGAATCCAAACATTTTTTCCTATGGATATTTTTTCATCCTAAAAAAAAATGACATCCAAGGAAAATATTTAGATGCAACTTACTAGAATGATGTGAAAGAAATGGTAATTCTGGTACCAAGGTGTTGCTTTTCTTTCTTATAACTGTGGAGAAAATATCCTGACAAAAAAAAAATTTTTTTTTGATTCCTTTCTTTTGCAAATTGTGCTGAGGCAACTATGGCATAGAAATAAACATTTGACATTAAAATAAGCAGTTGATGTGAGTATTGCTTGGTCTTTCTGATCAGTGGTTAGGAAAGTAATGCCGTATATTTTTCCATAATAGTTTGGTTTATCAAAAAAATTGACAATAGAACTGAAGTTATTTTTCCTAAAGGAATAATGCCACTAGGTCATCAGTTATTAAACGTATCTCTTTCACTTTCATAGAAACTAAAGAATTGTTGCGTTGTCCATGCCATGCCAGTACATCTTTGGCTACATAAACAGACACAGAGAAACAACCTTCTGTACTGACATCCGACTCCAGCCATGTGCACTCCCTGACCTGCCCTCCTTACCCCACCGCCCGCCCCTGGGGAGGGGGCCTTTAACTCTCAGGGTATTCAAATTCTGCTGGATCATCATCTACCTTTCCAAGGTTCAAAAGCTAGGTTTGCTTGACCCTGGGTCAGCAGTTTTTCTTGTCTAAAACTCCTCTGCTTCAACGTGGGTTGCTATGAAAGTTTTGAGACAGACCATGTTAGGTCCATTATTTCACTTTTAAGAAACACAGTCAACAGCGCCCTTTCTAACTCACCCCTGCAAGTTTCAACTTGCCCAGGTTGTTAGTGTTGCTAGAATTCATTTGTTTCTGTTCACGCAGATTTTAAGTTGTCTTGATTTTTTGTGTATCTCAAAACTTTGGTAAGGACCCCATTTTTTCTTAAATGTTTTTCCAAGAAAAGAAAGAAAAGCCTTCATAGACTAAATTTGACTGATGAGGAAAGAAAGTGGAGAGAAGAGAAACATCTCTGCCCATCTACAGTGGCGTGGCGTAGGGTCGAAGGTTACAGCTGGAAGTATCTGGTGACGTTGGCCTAGGGCACAGTGTCACCGTGATGCTGAAGCCCTCAGAATGATGTTGTCCTGAAACATTTCCTTTCCTCCTATGCTCTCCACCTCCATGTGAAATAAATGTTAGTGCACATTCATTTTTCTACCCAGAAACCAGGGCTCCCGAGATGAAGTCAGCACCAGAAAGGGGTAGGAGGGAGGGTGGGAATGGTCTCACTTAAATGTCTTAGGCTTTTACTTGACTATTTCAAATCTCTCACCTGCTGGGTCCTCATCACCCTTTATTGAGAAGGGACCTTGCAGTTGGCCTTGCCAGTTCCTTCCAGACTGATAGTCCCTTCAAGTAAGATTTCCATGATGCAAGATATTTCCTTTCCCCATTATATGTGGCCTTCCACTTCAATCATTGCATACACATAAGCCACCACTGTGTTCATAGCATTGTCTGAGGTTCTTATTTTTGTCCCACACACAAAAAATGCCTGGCAATCTTAACAATATATCAGTTTTTATTATATTGTTAAATGTCGGCATTTCATCAAACTGTGAGTCCATGTTGGCTTAACACAGAGGATTCCTGGATGATCCTTTTGTGTATATTTTAAGTTAGTATTCACCAGCAAAGCCCTTGATTTGGCCCTTTCATGATAAATTCATTCTTTTAAAAAATGCACATATATTTTTCTGTGTGAAAGGAAAAAATGGAAAGATAAAAATGCATATATAGTAACGGGAGGCAGAAAATCAAGAAAGCAATGTTGTAGCTATTTCTGGTGATGGAATTTTCGGGAGGCAACACTGACAAATTCGAATGCATGTGGGAGAATTCAGACCCAGCTGGGAGGGAGGGAGGCCGTTTTAAGGAAAGACTGAAGAAACTTAAAGGTGAATAACTGGAGTCATGAGAGCTATGATGTTGAGTGGGTCATTCCAAAATACCTTCTTTAAATGAGAAAGATGCCGAAGTATCATAAAGTGGAAGTTGGTAAGGAATGAGGCTGCTTAACCAGAGTTAACTATGGGAAAATGCAAATGCCTTCCCTTCTCTGGAAGTGTTAAAGCCCAGGCAGATATTCAGTGCCACAGACAGTCCCTGAATTAACGCTGAGGGAACAAAGCTATACTTGTCATAGTAGAAGGGACCCTCCTTACAATTAAGAGATCCAACTGGATTGTATCTAAATTATCTTTCAAAAGTAGGACTCTAAATATTGATTCAAATATTCAGTCTTTTGGAAGCCCAGAACTTTTATTTCAAACATGTTTTTGAAACCACAAGAAGGTTTTGGTCTAGTTCAGTTGCCCGTCAGACAAAGATCTAATTATTGAGACAATGAGGATTGGCATGGAAGGAATTTTTTAATATGACAGACATCTTTTTGGGAAAATAGGAGAAGCTGCCTCAAATCTATCTCCCTGACTAATGGAGATCATGAACTTCTAAAAAAGGAGTCACATTCCTTAGGTAGGTGGTTGTGTAATTAAGAAGGAGCTATGTGCATTGGGGCAGGTCATGTGCATTGGGGGCAAGTTGTGGAGGACGGTGGATCTCGGGTCAAGAAGTATACCCAGGGGCCTTCAGACTCTCAGCTCCTTTGCATTGCAGAAATCCACCACTTTCAGAAAACAACTCAAAAGGTTAAGTAGTTACTTAAAGGTCAGGATTATAAAAAACATACAGGGGTCATGGAAAATGATTGCAGTCATTGAGATATGTTCATGGGATCAGTTGCAAACTGTTCTCTAGAACCTTGTGTTTACAGGAATACTTCCATGGGGCTGGGCTTTGTGTGTCAACGAAAGCAGCTCTTTTACATATTTTGTTCATTGAGATTCTGCATAAGATATCAGCTGAGGAGTTTCCACTTAGATTAGCACTACTTTTAAATTGACGATTATAGAATATTAGCTCAGAGCAAAGCTGCCTTACACTCCCGTCTGAAGGCATTCTTGTCAAGTTATATTTTCAAATATTTACATACCTGGACACACCTAGGTTTCTTCAGAACTTGATGGCTTTAGATTATATAACTCTGCAGACTAAGTCCACAGGCAGTCTACAAGGTTGCATGTAAGGCTGTTCATGGTCAGACTTCTTGTCAGTCTCAACTACCCCCAGCTTGGCCCTGAGCATCAGATAGGCTGGACTTTTTACAATGCTCAGAGAACACAAGGCCTCCTCAACCCCTCAACCTCTATTCGCTCATCTTCTATATGAATGACCTCTCCCTAAATGTCAGATTTGCCTTAAATACTGGAATGAGTCATTTCCTCTGCTCTAAGTACACAATACCCAGTATTTCCTCTATTTCAGCACCTAATCCACTGCATATAATTGTTTATTGTCTTCATCCAGCACTGTAGTGAAAATTGTTGCTTATCATTATATTTTTAGCATGGAACCCTGCCTGGCCTTGTGTTCCTTGAAGGAAGGGGAGGTATGGAAGAAGAAGGATAATGTTTTCTGGCTGGACCTCATGGTGGGGGTCACTCCAAGACTCTAAATGGCAAACCCTTT